CATTTTTAACAGATCCTCACAGTGGTTGAGGAGTTTGGAGTATTACTCACTTTGCATGGACGTACATACATAACTGCATGCGTGCAAGCAATGTCAGTGGTGCTGGTATTAAACAGAAAGCTAAGTATGTGTATCATTGCTGATAGAATGGAAGCCAGAGGTTAATATGAACATGTTTTATAGCTGAAAAAGCTAATTACTTGCATTAAAGTGAATATAGTCTATATTGTTTGGGTCTAAGAAATTGTATGCAAGCATATTTGCATCTAATCATGAAGTATTTTAGTGCTTGTAATTGAACTCATTAAAAATAATGTTGGTTATTCTAGAATACAGTGCAGTAAGCTTGTTTTTTAACCATTAAGCAATAATTGAGACTTGTGTGCCATCCTTTACAGCTCTGCTAGTAGCAATAAAATAATACTAGTTTATTTACTTACAAAGGTAATTATTTTATTTAAAAACATGACAGGCTTTTAATATTATGAGACATCTTTAAAAAGGCCTAATTAAAACAAACAACATATTGCTTTGACAGCTAAAGATTTACAAGTTTTATTTCTTCACAAAGTCAAGGATTCTTGCCTAATTCTTGCCCACTCAGAACATCAATATATGATCAAATACTGCTGAAAATCCTTTCCCTCCAGAGCAATACCTTTGAAATCGTAAGTTCTAGTCATGTCATCAGCAGGTATTCTTATGAGGGAAAGTTCTCAGGACTGGAGAAGGTGACTGAGAAAATCTAACTGGTCGTTCTGACAGCAGATTCAGGAACATTAAAAACTGTCAGCAAATTGAATCTTTCCTTTGATCAAACTACAAGGGCAATATTTAGCATCTAGCTTGTATGTGTGGACTTTGGGTTCAGCAATTTACTACTGCACCTGAAATATACTGGCATTAATTTTTTTAAGCTAAATTGCACAATCCTTATGCAGACAAATTTCCCATAGGAACTGGGTTTACATAAGGACTATAGGATTTTGTACACAACTCCTCATAAAGGTGATCACCTTTAACTCCTAAAACTGAACCAATAGTGTTTGTCACCTTTTAGTAACAGGTGGTGAATATCATCTTGAATTCAGACTGTATTATAAAGGACCAGCCCAAGATTCCTTAGCAGTGACATTTTGCCGTCTAAAAGATGAAGGAAAAGTAACCATCCAGGCCACCTGTTATTAAGGAAAGATAATTCACTAACAATATTCTCCTTTCCTGGTTAAAGAAAACAGTGTCTGAGGAAGATGCTTTGCCAGCCTAATTAAACCAATATAGATTTTGTCAGCCTACTTCAACCCGCTTCCATACGGAACTGCTTACTGAATGGGCACTTTGAGCTCCTCTCTGATAACAAAGCTGTTTGAAAACTGCCTCACAGGACTTGTGGAGAAAAAAGCAGGTATTATTTCCCACACTGGCACAACACAGATATTTCCAGTTTTGGCTCAAAATATGTGAGTATGCATGTGTATAAATGCTGTAAAAACTATGGGGAAATCTTTGAAAGTATCTGTAAATGTGTATCACTTGAAATTACTGGATCATGTACCAGTCATCAAATTAGTTCCATTAAGCCAGCCTTAAGTATCCTGTGTCACTTGGTGATCTGCAGGACACTTAAGTTTGGCTTAATGGAACTAACTTTAAGGTATGTTAGTAATGTCATTCTAATCTAGTGTATGTTAGCTGGAATTCTTTCTGGTTTAAGATTATTTTTATATCCCAAATGTAAGATTGGTGGGGTGTTTTCAGAGTAATCTCAGAGAAAGAGAGAGAGAGAAAAACTCAGCAAGATGACTCTAGAAGAGAACTGTAACTCAGCACAGCTTCCAGTTTATTCCCACTTATGCTAGGATTGTTGCCGGAGCTAAGGAGACCTGAGAACAGTTAACACTGTCAAATCACAAGGGAGACCAGAGAATTTCAGAAAAACCTTTCTTTAACAAAGCTGTGAAAGCTGAAGACTTAGCATACTGAAAAGAACAATGATTCACATTGCAGACCACACAATGTATTGCTGAATATTCATATGCTACAGAATTCAGACCATACACTTAATATTGTAGAATGAATTGGAATATTTGGAACATTGCTCAAAAGGCAGAAATATTTTTTAGTACTCATAGAAAAAAAATACCTATAGAATAAGCTATATCCTATGACAAATCAATAGGAAACAGAACCATCAATGATTGTGTGCTTCTTCCAAGTAAAGCTACAGTGATAACCAGAGGATATTTCAGTAAAATAGTTGAGTTATCCACCCTCCACCTTCAGTGGAGCGGAAGACTAGGATTTAAGGCACATTAGTCAGCATGCTGTTTTATTGACCCTGCTGAGTGATGATTCTGTCTTGGACACATACCATGAGTTTTCTGCAGCAATGAGAGAAGGAGATTTACTGGAGGATGATTTTGTCGGAATGAAGGTGATTATTTAAAAAAATGTTGATCATGTTGAATTCCATCTAGTTCTAGTTTGGTTTTTAGGTCAGATGGAGTCAGTGCGGGATTTAGCTGTGAAACCAGGAAGGCTTATCATGATGAACTGACGTTTGTGGAGACACACAAGTGTGTAAGTTTTTGTCTTTTTAATAAGCTCTTTGTCCTTGAAAGTTACATGTAACTCAGTAGGAACTCTGGGTGCAGGCAGCTACCGGGATCAAACTCACCGCTATATGATAGTTGTTTAAAACATGCAGTATGCTTCAATATGGAATCTTTAAACAAAACAGTTCTAGCTTGCAGCTGTTGCTACACAGACTGTATGCAGATAAGTCACAAACAGCTGAGCATATGTGTGGTGCAAGGTTAAAACAATAACAAGCAGGTCGAATCATTCAAACACTGGAAATCACTTTGACTCCAGGCCAAAAGCTTAGCTTGAGATGATATCAGTACGGGATAAAAAGAGGATAAACTAACAGGCTTAGCAGCCAGCTCGTTGGAGTCAGCATATAGTATCTATACTTCCATCAGGAGAGCAGATGGTCATATATTTAAGGAAGCACCAGACAGGGAGTTGGGAGATCTGAATTCTATTCCTGGCTCTGCAGCAGTGTTCCTATGTCACCTTGGGGAGTCACTCTTCTCTCCTTTTTTCTTAATCTTTTAAGTAGTGGAAAGATTATTTGCTTGTCTCATAGGCAGTTGAGAGTCTAAACTGATGCTGAAAAAAATGCTGTGAAGCTCTGAGAAGGATGTATGGAAGAACTGCAAAGTAAACTTGTTCGGAAGAAAGGACACTGCATGGCTTCATGTGACATGTTTGTGCCATATGTTCACAACTTTTCCTCTCCCCAGAATCTCCCACGCCTTTTTGCACACAGTTTTCAAGGTGGGAATAAATGGATTAAGCTACCTTCCACATTTGCTAGAAAGATAAGCAGTTGCCAGTAAGAACCTGACCAAAGAACACACTTTATTACTGAGAGAGACATTATTCATGCCCAAGAGGTCAATAGGCTTGTTGAAGTTCACTGTTTGTCCCAAGACATTTTTGCATAGGTGGCAGAATAATGTCTCTAATGGCTTTTATTCTGAATTCAGCAGTGCTGCTTGCAAGCTGAAAGTTAAGTACACACTTATGTACTGTCTTTCACGAACAAATCTTCCGCTGAAGTCCCAAAACAACTCCATTTTTTAAATCAGTGAGAAACGTCTGCGACTACTTGCACAGGACTTTCATCTAAAGCCCATTAAAATCAACTACACTTCAAAGGAATTTGAATAAAAGACCTAGCAAGCAATTGTCATTTCTTCTGAATCCTATGCCCATTAAGGAAAATAACCCTATCTATCTTCATAACTATTTGGCATCATAGGAGTAATGTTTTCACTACAGAATAAATAGCTTCTGCTTTCAGTGTGGAGGCGCAAGCTTTGGGCTGGAGTTGAATTTTAGCATGTATGAGGATTTGCTCCATCAGTGCACATCTTTTCTGCAAGAGAAAAAAAAAGAAAAGATGAAGCCTTTTGGTTTTTTCCTCTATGCCTCCGTTTTTCTTGTTCCTACATTCTGAGTCCCTGGCAAGGAATTGAACACCAGTTCAAAGTCAGCTCTTGTGAAAGGGCACAGACAACACTGCAGAAAAACTTCAGAACATTAGTCCACCTCATAGCAGTTGTGGAGACAAAGGAAGCAAAAGCAAATGTTATCTGAGCAGATGTCCTGAGTGTCAATATGGAATATGGTCTTCCAACATGAGTTTGTTTTTCTGATTCCTCACAAATTGAACTGCCTCCAATCATGTAAACTGGACTTCCTTCAGCTCTTCTGGAAGTTACTGTGGGTTGGATATCTACATGGAGGAAAATACCATTATCAGGTTCAGGCTGTTGAGCAGATTATAGTGTGTGGCAATAAAATGAGAAGGGTCTGGTGTGATTTATGAAGACATCCATATTCTTCTCCTGCATGCAGCCTGGTTTTGTGAGAGACTGATGTCCCCATCTTTACCTTTTACAGGAATGTTAATTGTTTCTTTCATGTCCTCTTTTTGGCTAGGCTAGTGACAAAATTGCAGTTAAGAGGTCAAAGAAGTGTTCCACAAAGATACAAACACAGGAAGGAAGAGAGCAAGGATAGATCTTGTTTTACCACTGTTCTCTTGTTCTTCCCATCCCTATGGTATTTATAAGCTAATCTTCACTAGTTGCTGTGGATCTTGCAGGTAACACTTTCTCCAATGACTATCAACTTCATCACGCAACATTTTCAAAGATTTGAAGGTGACATCTAGAAAAATCTTTGTATTTCTTAGAAGTGCTTCAGTGAGAATGTTGCTAGTTGTATGTGTTTGTGTTTTGAGGCATGGAAGAGAGTTTGGGGAATTAAGAAAAAGTATAACTTCTAAAAGTGAAGTTAATGATTCAACAGGGGCAGATTCCTTTCCAGGATGTCTGGTTAGATATTATAATTGTAGAAATAAAATGTTCACTCCAGATCTCTCCTCCTCCTCTCTAGTTCTGCTCTGTCAGGCTGGGTTATTTGCACAAAGATGTGGCTTTTTCTTGGGATCATCTTTTCTCTCGGGGTGCTAATTCCTGGAAAACTCAGCTTGAAATTGCAGTATGATGGGTGAGTGTGAATGGAGTATGATGAAGAATTGCTCATGCAGTGAAATTACCAGGAACTGTGTAAGAATAATAATAACAATTGTGAACTGAAAACCTGGAGATAGGGTTACTAAGCTGTAAGCTTTGTAAGATTTGGAAAGAAAACGTAAAGATGGGAAATGATGAATGAATGAACCAAATCCAAGCCAACAAAGATGTGGCTGCAGGCGTGGGAGACAGAATGCCCCTCAAATGCACCTCAGGATGCTCTGCTTCCATTAGCTGAAATTCATTTGCCTTGGTCTCTTTCATAATGAACTTTGAAATCAGATGCTGTAGGAATAAAATGCCTTTTCTGAGTATAAAGCGGGTGGATGACTGAGCAAAACTATATCCATTAATAAATGACAGCTGAGGTTATGTGAAAAAATTGTGTCTCAAAAGCAGCTCAGATACTGAATGCCTGTTAGAAATCTGTAACAACAACAAAAAAGCTAATGGAGTTGGTCCAGACAATCTTCACCCCAAGGTGTCCAGAGAATGAAATTACCATATTTTTTATTACTGATTAATGCTTTAGAAAAGTATGAAATGTCTGTATTCTCCATTTTCAGTTCTGCTTCATGAGAAAATGAGTGATGTAAAATTATGCAGTTTTCCTGTTTAAACTATTCTGTTTCATTCACCCTCAACTTTACACGGAATGATAGGTCTCTCTGCCTTTACTGCACTTCGGATTTGCAGGAAGGGCATGAATATAGTGTGGCGGCCAGCTATCCACATAAAACTTTATACACAAAATTTTCTAAAGTAAATAGAGAAAGTAACCCAGTGCTGAATGCCTCTAGATTAATAATATTCCCAGAATATATTTTTCAAAAAGAGAGAAAACAAAAAAATACCTACTGCAAGTAAGTTCCTTAATAGTATACCTGTTCAACAAACCTTCTAGCAGAGCTCCTGACAGAGCATACAAAGTCACTACTTCTCTCTTTAAAATGTGTCATTTTCCCTTGGATAATATTTAACCTTTAGATTTGTATCAGGCACTCACTCAGGCCCTGTTGATTTCACTGAATAGAATTCAACAGACCCTTGGTAATGTAGCGTTCACTTTTGTTTCTAATTGCTGTCCAGGACTGAACCTATTGAGTACTTGCATGGGCAGCACCTGCACAGAGGTGAAATGACTAGTGAAGCCCATTTTTGTTGTCATTTGCTCTGTTCAATGACTTAAATGAAATATCCAATCTATGAGCATCCAAGCAAATACAGCTTGTGCTAAGAACAGGCCTTTAGTTTGGTAAGAAAGCTTAACTGCAGCATTTAAAAAACTGTTGTTCCCACGTGGTCACATGGGCTGACTTTGCGCTTCTCCACTGAGAATCCTAGCCCATAATCATAAACGAGTGTGTGCTTTCTAATCTTAGTTTACTATTAAAAATTATTTGTCTCCACATTGGCTATTGTGAAAGGTTTATCAGTAAATAAGAGCTGGCCATCTGGCAGCAATCTGACTGTCTGGCATTTCTTTCATTTGGTGTAATTAAGACATAATGTCAATGAGGATAGAAAGATATTACAGGATATTGTTTCCCTTCCTGGTAGACAAAGAGCAAAGCAAGCCCAGGCATTTACAGAGAATAAACTCTGAACTGCAGCTGAGATATTTATTCTCCTAGCAATGATGTTTATCCTGCATCTACAAGGTTCTGTTAGAAAGATATTATGGCTGTTGTACAAAAACATTAGCAATGCAAATTTAATCATTTTGCCCCTTAGACGAGGGTCCTATATGCTAACAGTATGTTCTGAACTAGTAGTAAACAGCCCATTTTAACTATCAAGTTCTATGTTTCTCTATCAGCAAAGGTGATATTTTCAAGAGAGATGTAAAAAAACCCAAATCCCCCTATTTTTCAGTGGATAATGAGAATGAACAGTGAATTCTATTTGCATGTATATTAAGCTGATAATTGTACATTTGTGTATGGAAGCACAAATGATAGCAGTTGCAGTTCAAATTATGGGAGCATATAATATTGATGACCATAATGACCATGGCTTTAACAAAAAGCCATGCGAGGCTTTTACGCCAAGAATTACTGCTACAAAAAATTTAAAATCTATAATGTTCATGGTTTTGTACTTGTTCTGTAAAGGCTCCAAGGCCCACTGAAGTCACTGAAGGAGACTGTGAAGCAGTAGTTATTGGTTACTAACAAATAACGAACATTTCTGGAGTTCCCCATTCTATTAAATCCGTAGTGGATAACTGCTATCTTACCTTTGAATAACGTATGCAGTCATCAAAACCTACTCCTCATTATGAAACCCTTTCATTAGAAAGGCCATACTTGCTATCAGTCCTGGAAAGCTGAACTGAATAAACACTGAAAAAAAATTAGTAAAATAATCACAAAGGGTGTTTTAATAGAACATACAGATTTGCTTTTCCTGCATTTCCAACCATTTTAATTTGTTCTTTGTAAACTTTCAACACTTTTTTCAGATTAACCCTGAAAGTTTCTTGGGGCCTGATGAAAACAGGCTCAGACAATGGATCTGTGTGTCTTTTCTAGAAATATAAAATGATAGATCCTGAACTAGAAATTTTTGTTTCCTGCAAATTGAGTGAGAATATGGACTTCTGCAGACCACACTTTTCACTATTTGTGGAACAAATTGGCATTTCTCATGACAAGTCATTTGTGAACGTCCCAAGCTCTTAGCGATGTTCATTTATCATGGCTATCTAATGTTTCTACATGCTCAAGTAGCTCAGTAAAGCACCAAAACTATCTGGAATAAGTTGAATCATTCCCGAACAGGAGAAAACAAAAATGACATCTTATCAAATAAATAGTTTATTATAGATTATCAATGATCTTCCTTTGGCCCTGGTCCTGCTAAGGTAGAAATACACACTAGGGCTCATGTGAACAGTTGGCTTCAGTGAAGCTGGCATGGTGAATAAAGGATTGCCACTGGCAAGGAAGCAGGGTTAACACTCTAGCAACAGAGAACTCATATCACTTAGTCCTATTTGTAGCTAAACCATCCCAGGAATTCATCAATGTTTTTGTTGGAACAGCACTCAGTTACATGCTCTGTCTTCCTTCTACATAACAAAGTATCTCCTGTTGACTTATGAAAGCATGGGTACTTTAACAGACATTAATACTGATCTTGTTTCTCTACTGAATTTCCAGGGATCAGGTTTTGCATATCGTGCCAGAAACTTTTCAGCAAGTCCAGCATCTTCAGCATCTTTGCAGCACTTTACTGGTGAGTAAGAATAACCATGCATGGCCAAAAAGCACAGTGGGGTCTTGTGCTACAAAACAGATTTGCATGTAACTTTGGACAGGAATGAAAGTTAAGATAAACTTGAAAAAGTCTTTCTTTTTCTTTTTTTTCTTAGTGTAGGGTTGAATTACACTTCCACTACCTGAAAGAATTTATGGGAAGAAGTTAGTTTCCTCGCATGGCTCCATGAAGCTGCTGCTCCTTTTCAGTGGTGCCTGAGTCTGTGCTACAGCCTGTGCTGTGTGCTCTGCAAACAGATAGCTGGAGAATAGTTGAGGGGAGAACTTGAAGGAAAACTTCTTCCATTTATTGATATACAGCTACTCTATCTTAAATGTATTTTCTCATTCTGAAAACAGAGCTTGATTTGTGCTTTCCTTTCTTTGCTGCACAGCTGGATTTGTGGAAGCCCCTGCTGCCCGAAGACATCTGGGTTGGAGAAGACCTGCACATAAGGGTACCAGCCGCTCTGGTGCAGGAGGTGAAAGACAGCTTAGATCAGCCTACGGTCCCTTATAAGTACGACCTTTAATTTCCTGGTGGGAAAGGCTGGCTCTAATAATTTTGCTTGTTATCACAAAAGGACCTAGCCCTTTCAAATGAACAGTCAGCAAGTACTGATGATAGGACCCAACCTTTGTTCCAGCTGCCTCCTAGTTACCTTGACCTGCCCAATGCACAGGTGCTATATGTACTTTAACGTTTTAAAAGCACATTCCCCTATGCTCTCTTTATTCACCTTCCAGCTAGCCTGAACTATGAATTTGGAACTGGAATATGAGACAGCTCAATCTGTCTTGTTTCCTGCTGTTGCCTTCTCAGTGGCAGAGGATGGCACTCAGATGTATGACTCAGTTTTTTAGTCTAAACTCAGGAAGCCAAACTTGGTACAACCACTACTTATAGGAGCATGGATACTTGAACACAGGGTCCTCCCTGTTTTGGAGAGCCCAAAAGCTTAATCAGTGTCGCTACAAAGAAGCAGTCTCTGTAGCTCTCCTTTTCTCTTACTGTCTTTTATTGTTCCTCTGGTTTGGAGAAGAGCCCTTTCAAAGAGAATATTCAGTCATTTTCTTCAAAGCTGCAGTTTCCTACCCCTATTCCCCCTGCCAGGCTGGTGAGAATTTCCTGTCAGCATCCAGCTAGCCAGAGACATCCCAGCCTGGGACAAAGGTCCTGGTGGCAGGTCTCCACTATGCACACAACTGGGAGCCACAAGCTGCAAATGGCCCATGACGCTTTATCACACCTAACCAGCCACACATCTTCACTAACTGTTATGCTCCTGCTTCCAACCAGAAGATCTAATCCAGATACAAAGGGTATTTATGGGATTAAACAAGATCTATTCCTCACACAGCCCCGTTCTCATTTGGAACTCGCTTTTTCAGGTAACCAGTAGCTAGCTATATTTCATATAAACAATCCTGTAATAATTCAGGGCTGGTGAAAAATGGCCTATGGACATACACTGACATTTACCAACCAAAGATAAGTTAAAGGAGGCCTGGTGCCACTCCAAAGCTGTTTAGAGTTAAAGCTGATCTTGACATGCTGCATCTTGCCTGACAAATTCTTTTTAGTAAGTGTAATGCCCTGACAACCAGAGATGGAGAGACATGAGGTGGGAGTCAGTACAAATGATCTAGCATCAGGTTTAGGTATTTAGGGCTTAGACAACACTCCAGAAGCTATTTAACCTCTTATTTTTATCAAGGCTGTTCATTTTCTAATGGTTTCAACTGATTCTATTGGAAAAGTAAAGACTAAACTGAAGTTAGCAGCTTAATCTTTTTTTTTTTTCCCTGGGTTGAGACAGGAACTGTATCCACAGTTAGTGTTAGTATAGTGTACTGTTAGTGTAGTTAGGGTAGGCTACTAAAGAAAGAGGTGGGTAATTTAATAGTCAAGCTGAAATTTTTGCTTTGTATTGCAAAGGAGTTGAGACGAGTACGGCAATGTCAGAGTTAAAGTTCCCGTAACACTGAAAGCAGGGACCATCGTTTAGAAGGCACCTGTGTTAAAGATTTTATCCTCACACGAGTGGGTTACACTAGGTATTGCTTTATTCCCAACTCAGAGTTGGGCCATCACCTCAGTGAGTGGCCAAGCTTAACTCACTAGACTAGTTTATATACATTTATTAAACCAATTACATCAAGTCTAGAATCTTCATAAGTTTCTAAGCGACCGTTCCGTTCCTTTAAGTACATCATTTATTAAGTTCTTTCTATTCTTCTGTCTTCGTAGAATTCTCCCTCGCTGGTTTCAGGCCTTGCTTGGTTTCAGGGTCGTCTCGGCTTCTTTTGTGAATTCTGTTTGATACAATCCATACAATTGATTTCTATCCCAATTGCAAGATACCGATTGTATGGTTTCTTAACACAGCTGTGTTTACACAGCTGAATCTACGTTCTAGTTCTATGATTTTATTCTATTTTATAATCAATCTTTATAATCAATTTCTAACAGCTGACGTGCAAGGAAGGTAACATGACAGTTAGGTGTATAATGACAAAGACATGAATGACAAATTATCATCAGGACATCAGTGTTCTGACTGTGTCAGACTCTGGGATTTCAGTTCTCCAGAGCTCTGATCAGGCATTTTGCATGTGTGGTTTCAGTTCATGGGAATTTGCACCGCCTAAATTTTAGTTTGAAGTTCAGATGTGGATAAACATCAAAGCTCAGAGGGAAAGACAGCTGTAGCTACTCTTAAAAGTTTCTTATGTATATTTCAAGAAATGCCAATCAGTGCTACTGTCAGCAGAATAGCCTATTAGCTCTTACAGTGTTTGAAATCAACAATGTTTAAGCTACCTTTGCAATTGTCTTATCACAAACATTTACAACTAGCACAGATTTGTAATAGTGTTACATGGGGCTGATTGCAGTGAGAAAGCACAGTGTATGGTCCTAAATGGTCTGAAGCCAAGGAAGAGGTTTTATTGACTCCCTTGGTCATGGAATCACGCCTGTGTTATACTCGTTTCTGAACTAATTTGTAGCTAAAAAGCAAGACAAGCTTTTTGGAGGAAAGAGGGAATTTGTTGTAAATTGCAATGAATACTCCTGTGAAGTCTTTGCAAATTGAAAATGTCCCCATAAAACAAAATAAAACACTAATCTTAAATTTTCACTTTTCTCTCCTTTTCCCAAAAGGCGGTATTTTTGAGTTTTGCCCAGAAGTAGAAGTGGTGAAGAAAAGAAAGATATCGAGCATTTTTTTTAATAGAACATAGTCAACCTTTAAAAAAAATCTGGTAAAATTATTACTTTATTGTTAAAATCCAGTGAAAATCTCAGTACTTTAAACTTTCTCTTACATAGAATCAGAATCATAGAATGCTTTGTGTTGGAAGGGACCTTTAGAGGTCATATAGCCCAACCCCTCTGCAGTGAGCAGGGACACCTGCGACTAGACCAGGTTGCCTGGCCTTGAATGTTTGCAGAGATGGGGCCTCCACTGCCTCTCTGGGCAATCTGTTCCAGTGTTTCATCACCCTCATGGTAAAAAATATCTTCCTTATATCGAGTCTAAATCTACCCTCTCTTAGTTTAAAGCCATTATTCCTTGTCCTGTCACAACAGCCCTTGCTAAAAAGATTTTCTCCATCTTCCCTGTAGGTCGCCTTTAAGTACTGAAAGGCTGCAATAAGGTCTCCCTGGAGCCTTCTCTATTCCAGGCTAAACAGCCCCAACTCTCTCAGCGCTTCCTCACAGGAGAGGTGTTCCAGCCCTTGGATCATTTTTGTGGCCTCCTTCTGCACCTGCTCCAGCAGGTCCATGTCTCTCCTGTGCTGAGGGCTCCAGAGCTGGATGCAGGACTCCAGGTGGGCTCTCACCAGAGCGAAGCAGAGTGGCAGAATCCCCTCCCTCGACCTGCTGGCCACACTTCTCTTGATGCAGCCCAGGATGCTGTTGGCTTTCTGGGCTGCGAGAGTACGTTGTTGGCTTATGTCCAGCTTTTCATCCACCAGTATCCCCAAGTCCTTCTCAGCAGGACTGCTCTCCATCCCTTCATCCCCCAGCCTGTATTGATACTGGGGGTTGTCCTGACCCAGATAGTGGACCTTGCTCTTGGCCTTGTTGAACCTCATGAGGTTCACACAGGCCCACCTCTCCAGCTTGTCCAGGTCCTTCTGGATGGCATCCTGTCCTTCTGCACGTCAACTTCACCACTCAGCTTGGTGTCATCTGCAAACTTGCTGAGGGTGCACTCGATCTCGCTGTTTGTGTCATTGATGAAAATATTAAACAGCACTGGTCCCAGTACGGACCCCTGAGGGACACCACTTGTCACCGGCGTCCATTTGGACATTGAGTCATTGACCACTACCCTCTGGCTGTGACCTTCCAACCAATTCCTTATCCACCAAACAGTCCACCCATCAAATCTGTACCTCCCCAATTTAGAGAGAAGGATGTTGTGGGGGACCGTGTCGAAAGCCTTACAGAAGTCCAGATAGGCGACATCTGTTGCTTTTCCCTTGTCCACTGATGCAGACACTCCATCACAGAAATCCACTAGGTTGGTCAGGCAGGACTTGCCCTTGGTGAAGCCATGCTGGCTGTCTTGAATCACCTCCCTGTCCTCCATGGGCCTTAGCGTAGCTTCTAGGAGGATCTGTTCCATCATCTTCCCAGGCACAGAGGTGAGGCTGACAGGTCAGTAGATCTTAGGGTCCTCCTTTCTACCCTTTTGAAAAATGGGCACAATATTTCCCTTCTTCCAGCCACCAGGGACTTTGCCTGACTGCCATGACTTTTCAAATATTATAGAGAGTGTCTTGGTGACTACATCAGCCAATTCCTTCAGGACTCTGGGATGCATCTCATCAGGTCTCATAGACTTATGCATGTTCAAGTTGCTTAGGTGATCACGAACCTCATCTCCACTTACAGTGGGAGAAGCTTTACTCCCCTGGTCCCCATCTTGCAGGCCATTGACTTGGGAGGCGTGAGGAGAGAGCTTGCCAGTAAAGACTGAGGCAAAAATTGTTGTTGAGTGCCTCAGCCTTCTCCTCGTTTCTTGACTCTAGATCACCATTCTTGTTTGTCGGGGGGGCACGCTTTCTTTAACCTTCCTTTTCTGGCTGACATACCTGCAGAAGCCCTTCTTGTTATATTTTGCATCCCTTGCCAAGTTCAGCTCCAGCTGTGCCTTGGCCTTCCTGACCCCATCCCTACACAACTGGGCAGCATCCCTATACTCTTCCCAAGATATCTGTCCCTGCTTCCACTGCCTGTGCAGTTCCCTATTGCTCTTTAATTTGACCAGCATGTCTCGACTCGGCCGTGCCAGCCTCTTCCCTTCCTTGACTGACTGATAAGTGAAAGTAACCATTGTGCTGATGGTGATGAATTTGGCAGGCAGTCCACAACAGAAGGGGCTAAATCCTTTCATTTGTTCATGTAAGCAATGTATCCATCATGACAGTTCTGCAGTAATTGTTAGTGTTTATTTTCTTTTCTACCTCCCCCTTTCCCCTTCCTTCAGAGTCCTAATACCTGATGTGCAGGAACTTGTGGATCAGAGCATGCCAAGGGAGACGAGCAGCCACAGACAGGTCCCAGAAGGTTATGTCTACACCCAATATCATCCAATGGAAGAGGTAAAGAGGAACTCAAGTGTGCTTTCTGTATTTGTTGCTTCTATTTTGTAAATGCCACAGCAAGTAACTCCGTGCTTGTAGAAAGCTCAGCTGCAGCCACTGGAGCTCTTTCCAGCTTTCTTCTTTGCAGAATCTGTCCTTACTCTTTGACTAGAATCTTGACCTGGTTGAATTGAACATTAATTTGCCATTGATTTTGATTAAATCCTCACTTCCTCCCTGACCAAAACCTAACTGCTCTGTGTGAAGCAGCCATATTGTTTTGCAAATAATATTCTGTGATTCAGTTGATTGGTTTGTTACCTTTCTACTATAATATGTTTTATCATGACATCTAGTGTTTATTTATTTAAGCCCCAGTGTGTTTGATGCTGAGCCAAATGTGAAGTGCAGTGAGTATTGCAGTCTCTGGAATCCTGGTGAGGAAAAAGAGGTGAACAGTGGGAGACCTGCAGAAAGAAGCAATTTAAGGACAGGTTTTTGACACTTCCTGAGAGAATAATGTCGTGAGAGTAGGTAGTGAAGACTTCTTGGTGCTGTGTTTCACAGCCTGGACAAAGGCAGAACATGGTGGTATTCTTGCTCCTAGCCACATAATAAGAGTGAGAGAGCAGAGTCAATCCTCATGTATATTTTGTTTGAGCTGCCCATTGGGGATGACTGATGCTGAACTCAGATGTGGAAAATCAGTGCTGATAGGGAAGATACTCTAATACTGCTTTGAAGATTTGATGGTGTGGCTCCATGTCTGGTGAAGCCTGGAACAGAATGGGCATGTTGAATAAGATCCAGAACAGAGTATCAGTGTTGTATTGCAGTGATGTTATCTTTTAACATCCAGTGAGATATGACCATGCCTTTGCTCAGAAGCAAGTGAAAGGCCTTCCATGAGTGTTAAGTGGTATCACAGATTGAAATAAGCTCTGAGGAAAATGTTGCTTGTCTAAGCAAAAGAAAATGCTTTAATCTGGAAATGGAGGTGGGAAAGAGCAGGAAACTCCCACTTTGAGCCAAGAATTCTCTGTGACTATTTCAGATTTATCAGTGGATGACTCAGATCCAGAAGAACAACAATGAGCTGGTGACTCAGCACTACCTGGGGAAGACAATCGAGAATCGAACAATATATTATCTGCAGGTAAGGAAGGAATTTTCTTAAAATGAATGAAAGTTATGTTCACAAAAAAGTACACAAAAAAGGAGAAGGCAGGATTCAGACCTGTTTTGAGACCGTGCTCATCACAACTTACTGAAATAGTAAGAGATGGTTTTACTCCTCCACAGTACAGTAAGATTTCCCAACTTTCATATACACTATGACCATAAATTTGCTATTGCTATTATGCAGTGAAAACAACCAATTTAACTGAAGTCTTATTTAGAAATACAAATCAAGCTAAAGCTAGCTTGGCAACAGCTGTGTGTGAGGATAAAGAGTTTTGTTTTGTTGTTCTTATTACTTTTTACAGCATATAGCCTTTCTGCTAGAAGTATTCCATGACATCTTTTATCACATGCTCTAGTAAAAACCATAGCCTTAATAATTGTGTTAGTTATTGTCTAATCTGTTCCTATCCCTGAGTAAAATTAGATTCCCTGGCTTTTTGTACATTCCCTTCTAAAAAAAAAGAATCTCTAAGTAAGAACAAGTCCTGTGAATGACTAATATAAATGAAAAAGAAACTGTTTTATCGACACTCCTGCTCAACAGACACTTCAAGACTCTTGCCCTGCGATACTACAGACATGGGGTTACTAGGAAAGAGAGCTCGTCATAATGATGTCTGCAATAATAATAATCTCAGATGGCTCAACAGCGTATCGAGGCACATCCTTTTCTTTCTGTATTACGCTAGGCTATTTTATTGTAATGTAAGTTTTCCAAATGATCATTTTTACACTCTCTCAGATCAGTCAACCATCAGATAAAACCAAGAAGATCATTTGGATGGACTGTGGGATTCATGCCAGAGAATGGATCTCTCCAGCCTTCTGCCAGTGGTTTGTGAAAGAAGTAAGTCCTCACCTTTCCACTTAGATAATGCAAAAAACACGTCACTTTGGAGACTTCAGTTCTCTTCTCTATCACGGTACCAAGAATTATGCTTTTTCTGTTAAAATATGATTTTCAAAATTAGTACATAGTAAAGATACCTCTGGAGACCTAAATCCAAATTACAGTTTGAGGTGAGATATGGGACAATATTTGTTAGCACATTGTTTCTTCCACCTAAACTGATTCCAAAGCCACTGAACTTTACAGCAATCTCTCCATTTCCCACAGTGGCTTTTGGATCAAGCCTCTCTGCATCACAAAGCCACAGAGCCCCTGGAAAAAAGCAACCCTAAGACATGGTATAGCCATGTTCCACGTGTACTGAAAGAACCTGGCACACAGGTACACTATCATGCAGCTTTCATACCTGCAAGACTGTATCCATATGTACACTATAACTGGATACACTGTTGCTTTGTTAATGGCAAAAGCTAGATATCTGAAAATATCTGGTGATCAAGGAGATCTTGGATACCATGGTGACAGCCAGGTGTGAGCGATTCCCTGATGACAGTTCTAAACTAGCTTGTTCCGGTGATCACCTCTAGATTCTCTCCTCAGTCCTCTGTATTTTTTCTTTTGAGATCCTTCAAAATTACAAATCTGACCCAAAGATAAGCAGGTTTCTGCAGAATTTGGACCTCTACGTCCTGCCAGTCCTCAATATTGATGGGTACATCTATTCCTGGGAAAAGGTAAGTAGTGAAAATCCAGGAACTGGATTGAAAGTTAGATGAGCACAGCATGTGTTGTTAATTTTAGATACAATCATAGCAACTACATTTAAGCAGAAAGCAGTGACAGAATCATTATCCACACAAACCCTGTCATGGCAGAGAGATTTTGTTTCTTCTGGTAAATCAGCAGTCACTTGAGATACAGGGCCAAAAATTCCTAGCAAATGTCATGAGCGTTGGGAATAGAGAAGGACAAAAACCACAGGATCAATTGCTTTTGGTTTTCTGGGGATGGACTTACTTCCCTGTTAACAGCTCAAGCCTTGGTTGACAAAGATAGGCATGTCTAGAGGTGTCAGTCATTCTTCGCAAGAGACCTCAACTAGCAGATGGGTCTAAGCGCTTATGCAGTGTGGGACAGGAGGAGAATTGGTCAAATATTGGGCTATTTGGTCTTGAAATAGACATGCTCTCCCACATAATCTTCCTTTTTTGATATGGAGGATAATGCAAAATGTTGGTCTTCAGCAACTCTCATCATGCTTCCAGGCTCCAGAGCCCCATCAAAATACCTTTCAATGCAGGACCTCAAGCATGGCCCAGCAGGCTTAGCCTAACCCCACGTGGATCCTGCTGTCTCCAAGCTTGATGCCCAGCAGGTTTGGGGAATACCACACCTTGCACTTGGATGCACAGGTAATTCAGCCAGGAAGATCATACAGGCAGTGCAGTGAGGTGTGCAGAGAAGCAAGAATAGAAGCGAGTATAGCAGGGAACCAAGAAGAAGCAGCAAGACTAGTTGACAAAAAAAGTATTCTTCTTCTTGAATCTGAAACAAACAGAAGTTCAGCTATCATCTCTTGGATACAGAGGTATCCCTCACAATGCCAAGTCTTTCTCAAGAGTGCGACACTGTATGGAAGAAGTGGAGTACTACAGAAAAATCTTTTTTTTTTTTTTTAAAGCTCAGGAGGCTCATTTCAAGGTGCATGCAGGCTTGTGGAAGATGACAGCCTGGCTGTAGTAGATAAAATGTTCTATCATTAAGCTTTATCACCGTTGCACACAGAGTCACACTGTTACAATACAGGAGTTCCTCAGAATGCAGAGGTCTAAAATAAAGGAGTCTTTACACCTACGGATCATTGAGTTGTCATTATAATGTAACTGAAGTTACTTTTATTTAGGAACGCTTGTGGAGGAAAAACCGTTCTCCGCATATGAATGGCACCTGCTATGGGACAGATCTGAACCGAAACTTCAATTCCTCCTGGGACAGTAAGTTCCAAGTATTTAAGATCAGCAACACAAACGTAGAGCAAGAGTAATAAATAGTCTCTGAAATAAGATGAAGTCCTATAAGAAAGGAATATTCATCTCATCATCAAGACATATGTAAAAATAAAAACCTGGTTTGTAAAAATTGTAAGTCATTTCAACTGGCATTTATTTTTGTGAGCAGAAAATTGCTGCTTTTATAACTATACGTCTAATTCACTGCAGGAGCAAGCATCAGCTCTAGGCAGCAATGTTAGGAGTTGGTCATTTAACAGCCAGTATTTGTGTTTGCCATGAACTTCCAGGAGCCCTGAAAGATTCCCTGGAAGGTGGTATACTGTGGTGGTGTTAGAGTGTTCTCGTTGCAGCCAGCCTGTGAATGCGCATTAAACATTTCAGTCTTGTAGTAAATTTTAGTTACTACCAACAGAGTAAAATGTTAAAGTCCCACTGAGCTGTCTAGTCTCCCTGCTCACATTTACACACACCTTAAGACTTCAAGATAAGCTTACCCATTTCTTCTGAACTGGTGTTTGTATGTCTCTCCTTAGATTCACTTTTTGTATTCCTTTCCAGGTATTGGTGTTTCTTATAACTGCAGCAGTGAAACCTTCTGTGGATCTGGACCAGAATCAGAGCCTGAGACAAGAGCTGTGGCTCAGTTTATTGACAAGAAGAAGAGTGACATTTTGTGCTATTTAACAATTCACTCCTATGGACAGTACATCCTCACACCGTATGGTTCCACAACCAAACCTCCAAGTAACAGTGAACAACTGGTATGGCAAAATATTCATCTTTTATACTTTTAGAGACAAAGTATAGGCAGTAGCATGTGGCACAACTCTATTTGCCCTCTTGCCTTTCCTTTGGAGGAGCTGGGCTTATTCAGGGGCTTGGGTCCCAGATTTATTTCTGCTCCTCACATTGCCCACATAGCAAGGACAGGTTATTGGCTGACATTGGCTCCCCTCCCCCACTCAGCCAAGAAAACTGGAACCATCCTGCAGGCAGTTTAATATCTGCATTAGCTCTATGTATTTAAAACATCTCTGAGTTTACAACTCCTCTCATATCTGTCTGATAGCGCTTGGCTTCTACTTACCACTGCTTTTCCATCTTCTACACAGAACCTCTTGTGATAGAGATTTAGTGTTTCTATGGAGGAAAGATGAAGCAACAAGGAGAAGAAGTAGCAAGTAACTTTTCTTTAAAGAAAGCTTCCTCTGAGGCAGGTCTCCAGGGGTTTAGCTGCTCATTTCCCTAATGTAGGGCTGTGGTCTCTTGATCTTTCTTGGTTGCCTGCTGTGTGTGCAGTATAAGCAAAGTTTATTTGCCTCATAATTAATCCTAATCCTTCATCTTAAATCAGGACAACTGAAGATTTACTGTTAGGGTTACTGCAATGTGAGTAGGTGGAAGAGAGCACCAAGATCTTGCTGGATACAAGAACGTGTTTGCACTTTCGGACACCAGCACATTATACGCATATTATTGTCATGATTGTGTCCAGAAAGGGTATTCCACATGTATTCACTAGGAGAATGGGAGTAAAGTAGGCACTTACTTCTTGGTTACTTCTGCCCTCAGTTTCTGAGTGTTCTAATTTAAGTTCATTAACACATGTATATATATGAACATTCCAGTAGCTGGAGCACTGGTCAAGAGCATGAGGCACTTGGGTTCTAACTTCATATGACTCCTTGGAGAAGCCATTTAGTCTGTCTATGGCTCAGTTTCTAAAGATGGTGAGATACAGAGTCTTTGGTAATGTAACAAGTGCAAGACATCAATCTCTGCTGTAGTCAGTACCAGTATGCTATACAGCACAGACTATAATTCTCCAAAATACAGCCCTCTCGCTTTACAACAAAGCAAATACTTTCTCTACCTAACAGCAGAGTCATTTTAAAATTGTAACATAATTTGCATTTAAAAAATCAAGAACAATTTTCCCAAATGTTTGTAATGGGTTTCTCTAAGGTCCTGAACTAATAACACCAAAACTTAAAGCTGATCATATGTAAATGTAAAGCTGAAAGAGACAAAAATTTTGGTCCTCTCAAAACAATTTCCAAATGTACTGGCACTGATGATAATGCTGTTCCTATCTGGAACTTACAGATGCATGTTACAGAGAAAGCAGCTGCTGCCCTGATGGGAAAATATGGGACCAGTTATGAAGTAGGATCAACCTCTTTAATTTTATGTAAGTTCCTTTATGTTTCCCTTTGATTGCTCTGTTTTTCAAACAGAGTCATTCTTGTGTCACAGGCATAGTAAGCACTGTTCTGCTGAATTTCCTCTTTGAGTAACATTTAATGGGCTGGTTGCGTGGAACATCTAAGCAGTCAAACACATTTGAATGTTATATAGCTGACTGTGGGAAGGATGGAAGCATTGATCAGAAGCCATTTCCTACATGAATTCCCCACAGATGCATCACAGGGGACAGAAGGAGATTGGTGATAGATCATCCTGACCCTGCTGAAGTCAGCATCAAAAATCCTACTTGTCTTCACTGGAGTCAAGCAAAAATTAAAATCTCAATCAGGTCTATAGGTACTCCATCAGACATTGTCACATGGCAGCTGCTTGCATTTCTGTGTGAAATATGTTGGTTTCAGCCTCTTTCCTAACAGACTGGACAGACACATCACGAACAGACCATCACAGCTGGTAGTAGTTGACAGCCTTTACATAGAGGACTACCAGGCCCTAGATACTGCCTGGTAAACCAAATCTTTTCCGAGTAAGCAATAAGTCATGCTAGTCACTCAGAACAGTAAGTAGTCAGTTCCAATACTCATCTGGTTTTGCACATTCACAGCATCTGTCTGTGCCAGTCCCTGAGTCACTTGAGTCACCAACTGCATGAGTAATGCAGTGTAAGTATAAGGCAACTTGTCCATTCCTAGGACTGCATTTTGCCAGCGTTTGGACTTACATTGAACAAGTAAGAAAAAAGATCTGTGAGGCAAATGAACTGTGATACAGGGAGGAGCCAGAAATTTTTCAGACTTAATCAAAATTATGCTTAAAAACAAATATACAAAGAAATTCCAGGCAGTGTCAATGTAGGAAATGAAGTATCAGAACATAAAAATGGCCAATACATCTTGTACTCACACTAGTCACAGTAAAATGATAAAAACACAGAATCCCTGGAACTCATTTCCTGTTACTGTACAATACCAGCTTATGAAGAATTGTTTCATTCAGGAAACTCCCTGGAAGACTTTTAGTGTAATTAAGAATTGCAGCACCTAGAAACTCTGCTCTCCATGTCACAGTGATATACGGTTACTGCTTAGTTCAGTGATTCTGGTATAATCTTGCATTAACTATAGCATGAAGTATTTTCAAAGAAGAACTGTGCTTAATACAAATATCTCCCTTCTATTTTTAAATTCACAGACAGTAACTCAGGCTCCTCACGGGACTGGGCTCACATGATTGGCATTCCTTTCTCCTACACATTTGAACTGCGAGACAACGGTACTCATGGATTTGTTCTACCACCTCAGCAGATCCAGCCCACATGTGAGGAGACTATGTTGGCTGTGAGAACTATCATAGACTATGTTGATCAGAAGTACTTCCCAGGTGGGGCTGTGATGCTGACCTCCAGCAGCCTGGGCCTAAGCCTTTGCCTGAGTGTTGTACTTACATGGACTCTTTCTTAAAAATGTCTTAGAGAACCCAGCAGGAGACTCCCATGCGAAGTATAACGTCCCTTTGAAAACACAAAATTACATGAGCAGAGAAACTAAATGTCAAGTATTTCAATAAAGGCTCATCCCACAAAATGCAAGCATCCACTTGTGGTTTTGATAGCTGTGTTTTAGGGAAGGAGGAAAGAATGAAGAGTTGTGGTAACTTCCCAAGCTTCACTTGCTGGCTCTGCAAGAAGCCAGCTTGGGTACACACAAGGATAGAGCACTATTACTCCCTGGTTCTTGAGCATGTTTTCAGGGGCTCACCTGGGCCTATGCAGCCCTTCTGCCAGCCACAGTCCTGCTCTGTTACAATTCTCTCCACTGCCTGACCCCACTGACTTCTGGGTCTTGCTCGTACTAGCAGGACGCCTGTGAGACTGTCCCCAGTTCTCACCACAGAAAATTAGACTGCTTCCTTGACATAGAACTTCCTTCCCTGAACTGCCACACTGGTGTTTACCAGAAAATACAGGGCCTCGAAAGCTGGTGAAAGGTCATAACCAGGCAACAATCAACAGCAGCCTGAAACAAGGTGAACAGTTGTGCTGGTACAAGTGTGTGGGGACAGATAAGAGGTGTGGCCCTGTCACTTCGGTGTAGTCAGGTTAGTGAAGATAGAAACAGCCCAAATCCTTCAAAAATACAAAAGGGAAAGGGAAAAGGAAGATGAGAATGGGGTGTTATTCCTACAGAGCAGACCAGAGAGTGACTTCTTTGCATCTTCAACTACCAAAACTATGTGACTGGTGGCGACAAATATCCTCCTCAAGTCAGAATCCTAAGGGATTTCATTACAGATGGTATGTAATGAAATCCTATTTAGAGAGGTGCCTTTCTTACAAACCACCTTAATACTTTGGAGCTGACTCTGCAGAAAGACTGGGGCCTGGATGCATGGGATCTGCCTGAGGTCCTCATGCAAAGATGGAAGCTCAGTGGAGCACTGGAGGAAAGGAAATATTTCAGCCCATCAAGGAGGGACACTCCACCTGACCCACTGGAAAGCAAACATCAGGGAAAG